ATAGTGTTGGGTAGGGTGAAATATGCTCTGGTCAAATATATCCAAATTTCGCGCGATTTGGTCTACTAAGAAAAAAGTTATGAACAAAAAAGCGTCAAAGCATTTCAAAGAAGACTTTTGAGCGCTGCTGATTATGACTACTGCAAACTTTGCAAAAGCGAGCTGAACTCAGAATCTTTGCCAAGCTGACGGGATTGATCCTCTCCGCTAGGAAAGTCTACCTATCAGCCGCGAGATAGACTTTTCAGAACTGGCTTAAAGCCACGTACTTTACCAGCTACTGCCTTGTCTAAGTAGCAACTTTCAAGTAAACAGAATGGCTGCTTTCATAGTCCGCCGGCCGGCCGGCGTGCCGGCGTACTTACCGTCGGACACTCGCGCAGAACAGGAATCGGCTATGCAGTTGTGATTTCCAGGATACTTCATCTCCTTCGCTGGTTCCTGAATAAAAACAAATATGACTTTATCGCTTCAAATGATAGCCTTATTAATCAATACCATAGAATTGTAATGAGAGACGGATTTCACGAGAACGGGTATCGTTTCCGAAAGGTATTTCTCCTGCTTCTGAATGAAAAGAATATTATTCAAAGGCATATGGAGAATAGCTACCTTGCTGACTTTTTCGAGTTTACGTTGAAGTCGTTGCGTCTCCTTCTTGGCCAATGCCATTTGGAGAAACACTGCTGTGTCGAAGGAGGTGTCACTGTCGAGATCCTCCTCGTCGTCCTCGTCTTCGCTCTCGTCCTCTTCATCTTGCGACAGTGTGCTTGTCACTATACTTTCTCCATTTCCAGCCAGACTGACACGCTGTTGCTTCTTACGTATCGCCCTTAACGCCAAATCCAGAAGCCTTTGATGACGTGCACTGGTTAGTTCTATAAATGTGATTAGAATCCTACTTGTAATGGCTGGGTTCATGGGGCATTCCAACAGGTTCCGCTCTATAGTGCTGCAGGAACACCAGGCAGATCTGAAATTTGGATGCTCGGGACTTCTCTATGTATAGGATTCACGAGCAGCCATAAAACTTCAAAAACGAAGATATGGCAACATTTGGTGATCTAACCCTTATCATACATGTGGTTGACTTTGTTGTACAACCAATTCAGATTCTTGGAAGTTTGGTGGGCTAACATATGGAACTTGGCCTACTTGAATAAGTTGCAGAAGCTGCCAGAGGGGTCGTATTCGAGCATGCTTTGAATTTTTGGGTGGGAATTTACTGAAGACCCAATTTGGTCGACAAATAATAACAATACTAGGCTGTACTTATCACAATGCTCCGATAGTAAATTTCTGTTCCCAGGTGTGTGGTACATTCAATTTTCAAAAGTAATCATAATTTGCTGATGCTTTTGTGTTAATGATGTTTTCCTCAATTATTTTCTATACCGGTGTCTGACAGCAGAGCAAAGTATCTCGGGTGAAAAGTAGCTTTCAACTTCCATTCAGATTCGCAGCGGCGTACTGTGGCCTATTCAATATCTTGCAGTGGCAGATGACCGACCTGAGCGAAAATCGACCCAGGATTCGAACCCTTAACCTCGCGTTTGTTTGTGCGCAATTTGCCACTACACCGCCTCCGCGTGCGAGGCTGTCCTTACCTCTAATAGTTTGTTGTCGATTGTACTCCGACCCTCAATAGAGTTTTCTACCGAATGAACGGCTTCGACGAATAGCCATCGGTAACCCGCACTTACTGAGACCTAGCATCTTGTTAAGAACATAGAAGCTTACTGTGGCAACCATTTTGAGTGGTGTAGTGAGGAGAATCACATGTAGAAGAACGGTTCGATTGATCAGCAAGCCGAAAGAGACCAAAATAAAGAAGATGAACACAGACATCACTGGTCTGCGGGTGATATCGGCTGGTAGAGGGAGAAGACGATCTAGAAATTTTAGCATTCAGCGCACTTAAATCTGAGAGAAACCGTGTAAGTCCAACCTGTGCTGAGAGCATTAATGATACGAGATCCAGGCAGAAATGATGATAATACTGCTCCCGAAAGACCGCATACAGCTGCCACTGTCAGCATATATCTAAAAATTAAACAGTAGTTTGTTCAAGCCGTAGGTATCCTTTCACAGCTGGCTTATGCAAAAGCGTAGACAGTATTAGTGGAAATAGCAAAAGCAAGCTGGACTGAAGTGAAAAGGGAATCTGTCGGAAGAAAGAAAAGTATAAAAAAGCCGTGCACTCATTTTGCAACAAACCGCATGCGCTGGAAACCGGCCTCGTGATGCAATCTAAATGGAAAGCGTATCACAGCACGTTACTACCGGTCGTGCATGGTTGTGTACGTTCAGTTTGGCTTACTAATTAGTCGAAGTCTTACTAGACAAAAGTTCATTAAAAGTCATGCATTCTAAATTTCCTTCGAGAGCACTTTCACTTTCTGACCGTCTAATCCTATGCTGTGAAAATTCTCAATTTCGACAGCGGTCCATGTATGAAATTGTGCACCTTCTGAAAGACCGAAAATTCAGAGTACTCCGCTAACCACTCGGTAAATGCTCCAAACATCGAAGTCAGTCCTTGCACCGATAATATCGACTTTCCAAGTTTGGGAATAACGAAATACAGCGCTTAGTGCCAATTACTGTGCTAAATTTATAGCTGAACCTTTATGATTTCCTTAGTCCTGCCACTTCAATCATAGGGTATCCCGTCAATTCCTCCATTTGCCTTTCTTTCGACATCGACGTACTTCCAATAAATTTTAGCTTACAGAAGTTTTGATGCTTATTAAATACTCAGCCCTTCTTGGGATATATCCGACTCGACTAGACCAACATTTGAAATCGTAATGGCACTTTGAATGCATAAGGGTCTATACAATTATTTGAGCGCCCGATGTAAAAGTCAGCGCTCCTAGCTCGACAGACTCCCACTTGAACTCCGTCCTCCGGTTGCTCCAGGTACTGCGTGCCCCAGCCGGCTTTGTGATGGCCGATATCAAAACCGCACTCTCAACCGGAGCGTTGCTGCACGCCGTTTGGGTGCGGAATGGTGCATATTGCTTCAAGTTATCATTCTATCATTCTAGAGCCCAACAAATCCGTGCTCAACAGATCTTTCTAAGTCAGTGCCACTAACAACGGAAAGGATATTTTTGTCATTTTGAGGAAGTTCACGGAGAACAACTACAAACAATTAAGGGTTCTCTTGCAGTTTACTACTGATTTGCGTGCCGAAACCTTGACCATTCAGAGTGTACTCACAGGCAGGAGAAAAAAACTTCTTAAAAACGTTAAGAGTTCTTCTCATGCACTACACAGTAAATAACTTGAGGGGTCATTGAAGTGGAAGGAATACATACATAAACGTGGTGCAATTCGATTACAGATGCATTAGCCTGGATGTGATTGAAGAGGATTGTGATTGGCCATTGCCACCCACTGCACTATTTCTCAAGAGGCAATGATGATTACTCACCTCAGATTATCAAGATACATAATGTTTCAGTAAGTGTCTCACAATCTNCCCCCCCCCCCCCCCCCCCCCGCCACTTCATTACCTGAGAAATTCCGAGAAAATATGCAGAACTTGCTGCGTTCAGTTTCCCGCCGGCTAAGAAAGATTAGATTTCTTCATCAATCTTCTGAAGTCATGGGGCCAACTGAATTGAAGAGATGAGCCATCTGTTATGAATTTCTACGCAAAATGATTTTCAGATCGGCTCTGAGTACGGCCCTGAGCCTAAGTATTTTTCTAAAACGCTTCCGAAAGGTTCGCCCAGTTTGATCTACCATTGATAAATATACGATGAATGGTATGGAAGAATTTAAATATATCCCTCCAAAAATTGAAGTCCACCCTTGAAGGCAAACATTTCATTGGGGCGTCCATGCGCTTTTTAGTGGAGAACCGTTGGCGAATCGTTAGGTTCAGCGAAGTACCGACTCCCAGATTCTCAGACGGCTAGAGAAATAGTGCAGGAGGTTGCAAGCTACCAGGCTCGTCTTCTTGCATCCATCAGACTGAGCTGATGTTCGATTTATGAAAATCCTGAGAAACATGTATTGGTAAAAGATAACTTACTTAGCAGCAGGAACATTCAGTACGGAAAACATTTCTGGTACAAGAGTTTCAGGAGACAACTTGGATACATCGGTTGAAAGACTGAAATTGAAGGATTCTGCCCCATTGACCATATTCCCTCAAGCTCCTGAGCAACAAATCATACCTGAATATCATGACGACTACGAAGAAAAACAAAGACAGTAAGGTGACCAATGTTGGTAGCAGGACTGTCATCTTCCGGCGAGGGCTCTTTGTCTCGTCAAAAAGATACGATGCGGCATCGACACCGGCAAATGCACACGAAAGCGCACATATCGAACGCAGAACCTAAACGGTACGTTAATCTCAGTATCTGCTCCATATTACTCCTTATCACATAGTTCACCCCACCCACCTGCCTCCTTTCCTCAGATCCACCTATCCCACAGCTCGGGTTACCAAAAAGTATTAGCAAATTATTTTACTTTGTGATCTTTTCTTATCCTAACTTTTACAGCTTTCCCCCTCCTCGATTTGTCTAAACAACTTCTAGAAGCGTTTCATATCTTTCGCTCAACCTGCCCACATCAGGACCACCTACTCCAACCCTGCCCAGACTTCACGTCGCAGCCTAACAAACTACTCGTGGGACCGAAAAATAATCGAATGGGCTGATTTCATCTGATCTGTGGGAGATTAGGGCAGCATTAGGTAGTTAGCAGCTCTTTGTTTTATTCAGAATCGTATGTAATAGTATTCAGGGCCGACCGATATATAAGCGGGTTCTCCCTGCTAAGACGAGGGAGGCTTTGGTTAAGCGGCCGTCTCAGAGAAGTTCACCAGTCAGGCCTCTCCTAATTTTCAGGTTCGATTTCACCAATTATGGAAATCAAATTTCCGCCATCTACACAATTCAATGGAAGCCAGTGGAAACATGTGAGATCCTTACCTCTCCGGACTTATCTCAGCCCTTGGTGGTGGAATGTGAAGGATGAACAGGAATATTCACTCCAGCTCCAACCCCAAGCCAAATAATTATCGCCTGCTCCTCAGCTATCTTTTCACTCCGGAGCTTCCTTGGGTGGAGACAACCATTGGAATTCTGGCCCCAAGCACTACATGGCCATCAGAACAAGATGATGACCATTCGGTAACTTAGGGTTTTTGAACATGCGCTTTGGGTCCAATAAAATTGTAAAGCGAACGGCATGTGGTTAGTGATATCCAGTACCAAGTAAACCCATTAATTTTAGACGAAGTGAAATGCCTGGGCAGAGGAGCTAGCAGAGCAACGTCTACGTCAATCCGTTCTTTCCCCCATCACACATCACCCACGTAGGAGCTTATCTGGCAAGCACTTTTCGCAACAATTCTCCAGAGATGTTGAATGATCGATATTTCATAACTAGCTTTTGAACTTTCCCAGAAACACCCTGAAATGAAGGATAGAAAGGCATCCTGCACTTACGCCATCGAATCCGAAGCGGAAGAAATTAGCACTGATCCAGTTTTGTGGATCAGCATGGAAGAAACCGACCATCGTGCAGCTGGCGGTCATTAGTACAGCGACAACAATCAAACACAAAGATATCGTGCCCACAACCTGAAATACATGAAATTTTACAACGTTTGTCCTCCAATGACACTTGACAAAACTAGTGTGAGAGCTATAACAGAAACTACAAAAAGAGTAGGACTCCGGCATTCGTTGGGTTGTTTTTGGAAGTTAAACTCGTCCAATTAAAAATGCTATTGCAATAATCCTGATCATGAATCAGTTGCCTACTTTTCATAATCCAAGCAAAACCCTCCAAAAATTCCCTCTAAGTTCCGAAAATCTTGAGCTTGTCCCACTTGAATTATGCTTTCAAGAACTGATCAAAATCGCTCCAGCACCCGTAGGCGTTTGAAAGTTCCCTGCGTCCGCTCACTATAGGATTTATTTCCTAGCCGTAAAAGGGAATGGAAAGTTAGAAAGGCTCGATTCCTTTTATGGGTAGATCCGTTGTGCTATAGTTATGGCTCCAGTTTGTCGCTGGAAAAAAGATCAGGGATCACTTTCGTTACGGGAATAACTGACGAACCTGCTTGAATTGACGGGGACCTTATTCACTATTATACTACGTAGTTGACATCAATTGACTAGCCCCTGGCCTTACAAACTTAGAAGTCATCCAAAATGCTCAATACTCAAAATGACGTTCTCTCGAACCAACATACATATGGTTAGTCTTTGGTGCTTTATGTACGCTCTTTTGAAGCAAATCAAGAAGATCAGAAATCAACTTCAAATGCTCTGCTTTTCATATCAAATCGATGTATCTTCTTCAAAAACATCTTGTAGTAGGCTTCTACCCTTGAGTGTGAGGCTCGGGCGTTTTAGTCTAGGCCAGTCGATTTTGGTGCTTATGTTATAGGCGGAGACAAGTCCACATTGTTTATTCGGTTGAGGATGAACGAATGATTTGAGTGATTCCAAGGTCGGAACAACTAAGCCAGATCAGCATTACAAATTATCTATTTGAGTCCGATTCGTTGTAGGGATCCTTGAAGAACTTCTTGGGCAGTAAGAGGAGCAGTTTCGAATTCATGAAAACTCACTAATTCACTTAGTTAGTCGACTCTAAACAAAGCTGCGAAGACCCTTAAAATGCTTTCAGCTTCGGCTTTGTCGTTCCATGTTATTGTTATTTCTATTCCTGTTATTGTTATTTTTCTTGGTGCCAGACCGATAAACAACAAGACAAGTGGAAACGAATCTCGGCCACTCAAACAGAACAGAAAACAGCATTTCTAAAATGAAATCTCCGCTTCCCTTTTTAGAAGTATTGAAAAGTTACGAAAATAGATTTTGTTGAGGAGCTAGGTACTTTAGAAAGTATACTTCACGATTATCCTGAGGTTAGATTGAGCCAAAATGGAGAAAAACGCAAAAATCGGCGGATTTCGAAAAATATGAGGAAATCAGAAACATAGTTCGAAAGGAGGCTGTACAAGATGTGTCCGTAACCGTCTGGGTGACTCCCACGCGAACGTACTATTCCTCGGCGTCCTAACGCCTCAGTGTGAATGGTGCAAAGGACAGCCATAACACACCCACTCCTGTCGGCTGCAAGTGCTTATGACGTCCTGTCGAAGTCGTTGTTTTTCAACTCGAAACTGTCACATGTGATATCCTTGGAAGCCACAGGTCCATCTAGGAAGAAATCTCAGAATATGTTTCCCTTGTGCCTTAACATATTTGACGTTCACGAAAGGGGTTGAAGAGCTATTATTTTCTGAGAGGAGTTGGGTAGATGATTCTCGTGGCTGTACTGGCACCAACTAGGTGATCATGGGTGTGAACTTATTTATCTTTTTATGAAATCTTTTGAACCTCTGCAGGCGATTGAAACGCGAACTAATCGAACCACTCAAAGATGGTTACCAGCGAAAACATCACGTTGCCTGGAAAGGTCCTCGTTGGTTTATTCTTTTATTCCCGTCCTTTCCAGTATTAAGACATTTCTGCTGGCCCAACCTCAGTCTCCTCTGTAGCCAATCGAAGGGAATGCAGAAAAGCTCCAATAAAGCTATTCACGTCGAGAAGTCGTCTTGCAAAGGCTGCTCGAGATTTTCAAGTTGTTGAAAATAGTAGCAGTGTACGTCGACGTACACTGCTAGTATTTTTTTAGAATCAAACCAATGAAAGTAACACGCCCGAGAACGAACCCTCAGGTTGCAGCACAAAATAAATACAGACATCATCGCCGCCAGGAGAGCTGATAGGTCGTATTCTTCGCTGACGATCCACATCCCAGATTCCCGATGCATTAACGGCAACGACATAAATCGATGCAGGTGACGACGAAAAAGAAGATTCTGGAACGAAAATCGTGGGTAAAAGGCGGTAACGAAGCATAGACATCAAATCACCCACCACATGTTCGCTCCATGTTCTGCAAAGGATTGTTGTGATGCACACAGCATCCAAAACAGCTGTCCATCCAGCGAAAAACGCTGGAAGCTCACCCAGGGTGGCAAATGAAAACTGGTAGAGAACACAGTTCTTTGGTAGAGCAGACGACAGCTCAGCCATATGAACAGCTATAAGTGGAAATATCGCGAAGATGTTGAAAGAGAAGCAAAATGTCAGCCTCTAATGAAACTGAACTTGTATGTACGTTTGCAACCTAAACTATTTTCTTCACCATCACACTACTTAAAGGCACAGTTCACGGTAATTCAGGGGTATCCAGTATTAGACGATTAACGGGAGTGGAAGGGTTACTTGAAGGAACTGCTTAAATTTCCGTATCACTGCGTAGAGCTGGCAACTCGAAACTGCCTGCGTGTAATGAGTGGGTCCTGGCGCGAATGGTGGAACCTCTAAAGCCTCTACAACGCAGCGAAAACTCTTTTACCTTTCGGTGTGAACGTGAACAGGCTATGGAGGCCCTGATACTCCCTATACTGAGCCTCTTTGGCCCAACAGCGTCCCTTGTGTTATCCTTGGACGTCACAGGTTCATCTCAGGTAGCAATCTCAGGATGTCTTCACTGCTGCGAGTCTTGTAATTTCTGTGCAAACTGTTCTATTACCTACTACACCATTGCTTTTACAATACTATCCTTTATAGTCTCCAGCTTCTCTCTTGTTTTAACCACGGCATAGTTGTTTATGATTATAATATTCCTGTGCCGTGCAAGGTTGTTAGGTGGAACAGTTTATTAATTAACGGCCTAACGTTTCGTCGTCCTCGTCGTCTTCAGAGGCTAAGGCTCCACCGGATATAAAATCCGCTTGAGCGGTGGAACATTGGCCTCTGAAGACGTCGAGGACGTCGAAACGTTAGGCCGTTAAA